GTATGGAGGCCAGAAGAGGGCACTGGATCCCCTGGAACTGGAGATACAGACAGTTGTCAGCTGCCATGTGGGTGCTGGCACAACAGCAGCCATCGCTCTTAACCCCTGAGCCATCTCTTTGGCCTCTCTCTGGCCCCTCAAACTTTTTTCTTGAGTTTCGCAGAAACCTTATCACGGACTAAAAACAAAAAAGTGAATTGAATAATGAGCAGAAATAGTTCAGTGTGAAATTGAATGCGCAACAGGCCCGAGCTGGAATCCTGAAACTACTACCATAAGGCAGTTCTGAGACTTCTACCTCTTTGAATGTCAGTTGCTACGGCTGTAACGCGGGTGGAATGCAGCTAAAGCTGACAGAGGCGGTGAGAGTAAGAAGGCAGGTATATGTGCAAAGTGCCCGGATCCAGTAGCATCAGTGCAGTGCTTACTGACTTTTCTTTCTTCCTTGTCCTTCTGGAAATTAAACATAATAGACTGAGATTCCTTCACTCACAAAAACTGCTGTTCCTAGAAAAAGACATAAACAACTAACTAAACAAAGAATAAATCTTCCTGATCTCAAGTTTTAAAGTGGGTAAGTAATGAAAATAAACTAGCAAGAAATAGGAGTGATGGAACTGAGACTCTTACAAAAGCTATGAAGACAGATGCTATTAATCATTTCCATTTCCCTCTTAGCTGTGATGAGATTTTATTTCATGCTCAGCAAAGCGAGAAATCACCCAAACTTTGAAAAGTTAAGTTAAAAGTGTTTCATAAAAACAAAAATTGCTACAATTTTCCAGATGTTTTCTCAGAAAATTATTTCAAAATCAAAGTAAGGCCTTTTAGTCACTTAGTTGGGACGAACGGCTGAATTACCTACTAGAAACCTAATGCCACTGGAGAAAGAGCTTGCAAAATAAAAGACTTACTGAAGGCGTTAACACATGCCAGGTGCCGTTAGGCATATAACCTCACATCCGTGTTAAAGGCTGCCTTAACAAAATTCTATAACTGGGTGGCTTAAATAAGAGAAATTTATTTCTCACTGTTCTGGAAGCCCTAAGTGCAAGATCCAGTTGCCAGCGGGGCTGCTGACCTCTGAGGCTTTCACCTTAGCAGGCACTGACTGCCCTGAGTCCTTCTCCATGATCACCTTTCTCTGCACACGTGCCCTGGCGGTCTCTTAGTATTTCTTTTCTCATAAAGACACAAGTGAGATCGGACTTAGGCCCATTCTGATGGCCTTCTAACTTTTATCACATCATTCAAGGACTTGTCTCCAAATATAATCACTTTCTGAGATGCTGGGTGTTAGGAATGTGATTCCTTTCTTCTGTATCAATATGACCAAATGCCTGATAGAAACAACTTAAGGGAGAAAAGATTCTGGCTCATGCTTTCAAGATGTTTCTGTTCATCATGGTGGGGAAGGCATGGCTAGGGGAGCAGCTCTGTCTGTGTCAGCAGGAGTATGAGGTGGTGACTAATCACATGGTCCACACCAGGAGCAGGGAGAGCTAGGCTGGAACCAGAGGTGGCTGTAACTTCAAAGGTTTGCTCCTGGTGATCCCCTTCTGTCAGCCAGGCCCTTACATCTAAAGGCTCCACAGCTTTCAAAATTGTGCTACAAGCTGGGGCCCAATTTTCAAAACATGAGCCTATGGAGGACTTTTCAAATCCAAACTACCAGGCTGTGGCATATGACTTTTGGAGGGACATGATGCAGCCTCCAACAAAATGCCGCCTCATTTAACCCCTTTACAAATGAATAGCCAGGCCCCTGAGGAAAAAAATAATGCAGCAAATGGCACATAGTCACTAAGTTGTGGAAACAAAATTTCAACAAAGGCCTCATTAGCACCAATGATCTGTCTGCTAGTTACATTTCCTCAAAGGGATATAAATCTAGTTGGGAAGACACAGCACTGATGAAAATTTAAAACAGGGAGCTATGGCTACAGATGCACTTACTCACTGGGTCTCTGTCATTATATGGAAAGAATGGCTTCAGGGTTAGTGACTGTTTATAGAACCATTGTTAAATATTAGGCTAGGTTCCCCGTGCCAATCCCTTCAAAAGGTCTGTTGGCTTCCTCATATGAATAGCTGCTGACCAGAAAACAGGACCAGTCTTTGTATGTCTTGGTCCAAACCCTATTAAAAAATCCTAAGTCAATGCCAAATACAAAAGCACTTTTGCAAATAAGTATCATAGATCAGACTGGCATTATGTCTATATGCAGGTGTATAAAATCCCTCAACTGGTTTGGATGTTTGTATCCCACTGGCAGACTACACAATGCAGCAGCAAGCTTTCAGCTCTATGCATCCCATCTTGAAAGTCCAGAGTCCCGTGTTCTGTCTCTTTAGACTCCACTTGTATTTCTAGAAATTTTAACTAGATTGTAGTCAGTTCCTTCCCAGCCCTCAGGGTTGGATGTATTATTCTTCAAAATTTGCGTCAAAGTATCATCTTACTTTGTGCCTTACCATAACAGAGTTTTAATGGATCTATAATCTATGTTCAATTGTCATTATAAAGTTAAAGAATTAAATAATTTAATTCCCAGGTGTTATGTTTCCAAAGACCAGCCCTAGTATGCAATCTAGGGATGTGGATAGAGAACTTGAAGCCTAGTACATACCAACTCTTACACAAAAGCTGTCGGATGAAGTCTATTACTTTCTTCTATATTCTGAAGAACACACTGAAATATTTTAGCAAGAATACAAACTTCCTGAAGGTATAAGCATAATGCATATATATACACATACACATACACATGAACATACATACATACATACATATATATGTATATATGCATATATATAGTTGTAGCATCTCCAGCATTTTTATACATAAAAATACACAGTAATGTAAGTCAGTAAACAAAATAAAATCAACTGCCTGAGAAGTATTTGCAGTTGAATGAAAATGTGTTGAGCATGCATAAACCAAAAAATTTAAACCTGAAATGCTCTGAACTCTAAAGCCTTTATTAGTAAGTGCCCACATGACATCACAAATGGAAAATTCTAACCCTGATCTCATTTGATGGGTCACAGTGAAATCCAAGTGTACAGAGTAGCATATGAAACTATCTTTGGGCTGTGTAGATAAGATGTACATAAAACATAAATAGGTCCCATCCCCAAGATCTCTCATTATACATATGCAAATATTCCTAAATCCCAAAAGAAAAATAAATCAAAAGTTCAAAGCCCTTTGATAACATTTGGATAAGAGATATTCGACCTGTGTTAATGTTAGCATTTACATACATAGTTCTACAGGCCTAAGGCTTAAATGACTAACATAGTCTATTCTGAGAAGTTCCATGGTAAATTCCATTATCTGTAAGCCTACTGTGATAAGTTCACTGGAATTTTTATTGAAGACAAAGCCCTCTATGTACAACTAAACAAAGCAAAATATCAACCAAATAGAATATTATGGACCAGAGAGATGGTTCAGTGGATAAAGGTGCTTGCTGCCAAACCTGATGACGTGAGTTTGATACCCAGCACCCAAACAGTGGAAGGAGAGAAGAGATGGAGTAAGTTGTCCTTTGACCCCCACTTCCTACCACACACAAAAAATAAAGGTAATAAAAAATTATAAACTGAGGTATTATGATTAGTTTTCTGGTTAAATGAGAACTGACTAGACAATTGCTTTGCTTCAACTATCCAAATCCTTTTTAGTGATTCCCTACATGAACGCATTCCTCTGAATGCAGTGGAGGACCTTTGGCACCTAAAACTTAGCTGCTTTTCCTAATGCTCACTTAGCCTTGTGCTTTGTGCTAGAGAAGCTCTCTTCAGCAGCACAAGGGAGTTAGAACAGATGCTCCAGAGCTTTTATTTTTTATTTGACTTGTACTAGCCAGAGTGCTTGCCAGTTAGCGCAGGGGCTTCAGGAGCCTCTCCGCAAGAAGCTTGGGCTCACTGTAGAAAACAATTCCCAGGTTTCAGTGGCCCAGGCTGGTCTCCTGGCAATCTTCATGGCAATCCTCTAGCCTCAGCCTCTTGAGTGCTGGGATTACAGGTGTGAGTTACCACACCTGGTGATGAATACTAATTACATACTTTAAAAAACTAATACAAAGCACATTTCAAAGTTTAATCTAATATTTTAAGTTTATTCATTCTGTTTCTCTCCTATCATGAATATCAGCATTCAGGATAATTGGGAGTTCAGGTGTGATTTCTCAAAGGGTAGGAAAGGGGAGAGTGGACAGAAGAAATACATGAAGTTTAAAATGAAGTGGCATCTTTCTCCAATATTTTTATGTGCTTTGAGTCACAGTATTAATGTTCTGACATTTCAAATAATATTAAAGTACAGCATATGTTGGGGAAAAAGAGGCTGATAATAGTTTAATGGAATTTTAAAAAATGTCTTTTCTCTAGATAAGAGCATATATAGAAGGTGTTTGATGAATGGTCTGAATAGAAGCAATAGCCAATTAACCCCAAACACACTTAATCAACAAATACACACTGTGAAAACATTAATGCTCTTACAGTAGGGCTTCCCAGTTCTGAACAGCATGACTATCTAAATTTTGAGTGGAAAAGCAAGCTTGTAAATCTCTAAACACAGTAAGACACCTTTGCAACTATGAGAACAGAGATTTCATTTTTGACAGTTTGTGTTTCCAGGCGTCACAATCTTTGTAAACATTCACAGAAAGGGCTACTTATGATCCCTTCTGTACATTCTGGTACCATCCATGCAATAAAAGTCAGACAGGGACGCAGTGAGGGAGAACTGCCTCGACTCCCGAAATTTCTTCCTTCCTCAAGTGGGGAAAGACAACTAAGGTTTAGAATTCTGACTCTGTTTTCAGTTCCAGAACCACATCGCTCCATGACCATCTTTACAGAATATATCATTTCCCACCCACTACTGGTTCACAGATCAATGGTTCCTACAGCTTGGAGAGAGACTGAAAGCAGACCTAGAGCACAGGCCCCCGGCTCGGAGGGTCTCAAACCCTGGGGAAACCCACCTCCAGTTTCAGAACATCATGCTGAAGTTTACGCTGGAATTCCAGGAAGTTTTTGATGGTCAGTTTCCCTTTGAGATCAGCTCCAAAAAAGTAGGTTGTGAGGGCTGAACACAAGCCAGACTTGAGGGTGTTCCCAGTAGTAGGGCGATCTCTGTGACGCATGCCCATGCTGGTTTGGGAACGAATGATGCTCTGAACCTAAAACAGAATCATATACACATCCAGAGAGATATTATGAAAGTGAAGAAGTACAGAAAAGGTTAGCAACTGTGGATGACAAGCTTCCACTGTACAACCCAACAATCTGGTAAGTCCTGTACATACCCTCATTTTCTAGAGACTGAAGCACACCATTGAGTAATTTGTTCAAGTCAAGTAGCAGCAGGTAGAACCAGGATTCTAACACAGGTCTCCTGACACCTTTACAACTGGGATCCTCAAGAAAACTTTCCTTTCGTGAAGAGTATTTGTGGGCTAAAGGGATGGCTCAGTGCATAAGAGCACTGACTGCTTTCCCAGAGGACTGGGGTTTGGTTCCCAGAGACCATACAGTGGTTACCAACCACCTGTAATTCCAGGTCCAGGGGATCTGATGCCCTCTTCTGGTCTCTGTGGGCATTGCATGAATGCAGGCGCAACACTCATATACATAAAACAAGAATAAATAAATGAGTTTTTCTGGGGGTGCCAAACCTTTCTCTTATGAGTAAGACAACCATCTTCACAATAATATTGTCTGTATCTCCACAGGTTTTACAAGAACTCCACACTTCCCATTCTACTCGAGATGCGGCAGAGGCAGCAAAGCTATAAGCAAATTCTTGACAGCTGAATTTGTTAGAATGACATATAAAGTTGGCATGAAATAGGAAAACATAGGGACTTTGTTCAATCTCTGAGAAAGGCTCTTCTTCGGGACTAGTGACAGTGGCCTCCTTTTGCAACTGAGCTTTCTTAGGCAGGTCTACGATGGATCACCACAGCGCCCGCACCTTCTCCTGCACTCCTCTCTCTTCACAAGCTAAAGACCACAAATGTGAAGAAATTCACCAGCACTTGCCTGCTCAAACTCCTCCATGTCTACTTCTCCATCTCCATTCAAGTCAAACATCTTGAAAGCAATTTCAAAATTCCTCTGAGGAGCTGCAAGGAGAAAGGGAGGCAGGAAGGGAGGGTATGAGAAAAAATGAAGACATTGGTCCCAAATAAGTCACTTCAGGAAAATAAATGTTTCAATAGTAAAATATAGTACCCAAGTCAGAAAATGACACTGCTGATCTAGATGAAGGTTTTAGGAATACTCCTTAAAACTCAAAAAGAATTTTGTGACCAATAAAGCCAACAGTTGTCTATTTTTGTATTTCAACTCTTTTTTTTTTAAATTCAGTTTTGCTTTTGATTTCTTTTAATTAATAATTAATTCTATATGTATGAATATATTAAGTGCTCTTGAGCACTGGGCCATCTCTCCAGACCCAGTTTTGCTTTTTTAAAATATCATCTTCCTAGCACTCGGGAGTTCGAGGCCAGCCTGGTCTACATAGTGAGTTCCAGGACAGCTGGGGCTACAGGGAGACCCTGTCTCAAAAAGACCAAAAAAAAAAAAATCATCTTGTCAGCTTTATAATATTCCCTGTTCCTACTTTTGGCTTTTAGGGCTTTATCGATGCCAAGCATGCATACTATGTTGTTTAAATATAGTATTACTTATCAGGGCAAGAAAGTCTGTCTAGGATGAGACAAGCTACTGCAAAGCAAGAAGCAGAAAGCCTAGGTCTTGATCTTGCTTTAAAACAAGCTGGCTTTCGACTTTGCTGTCCTAAGTCTTTGCAATATAAACACGATCAGCAGTTCTGTGCACGCCATTTTGCTCTGGAGGTTTGAAGCTGTTTCCTTATACGACTTTACACGTTATAGCTGTTCTGTGGTAGAACAGAAAGGTGAACTATGAGCCACTCCCCTCCCCCTTTTCAACATGTCAATTGCATATACAAATTACTCAGTAAAGTATCCTTCCACGTTAAAATTAACTTGAAGCTTAAAAAAACAAAAATGCACACAGCTCGGAGGACGGTAAGTGTGCTTTCCCATAAGTGAATGATCAAAGCTCTTTAATACTTCTTTAGTGTTCCAGAATCAATCAAAATGCAATTAATATTCTCGGTGCATTGTAATGAAACAAACTTCATAGCTGCTCCCCCTCCCTCCCAACTGAGTGTTCTGGTTAAGAAAATGAGATTTGCCCCCTTTTTCATTAAAAAAGGCAAGGTTTATGAAGACAAAGAATGACGGGTGAGCTTTGGGCTTTATACATAATCGTACAGATCAAATCTCCATCTTGAATTCATCAATAGAAACTTTATCTGGGCTTCAATTCTGTTTTCAGACAGCTAGTCATCTAGGCTGTAAAGATCCTGGGTTTCAGTTGCCATGGTGAATCCCATGCCTGTCACCTTCCACTGGTCTACTTCACTTGATACTGACATCCGACAGATTTGCTCCTTTTCTGGTTTTTGATCCTCCTGCCTCAGCCTCCCCAGGAAACCACCTCTCCCAGCCCATGTTTGCTCCTCTTCAGGCTACAGCTGCAATGTCTGGGAAGGATACCACATGCAGAATTAAATTTTTGTATAGTTACTGCCACTTTTCAAAATTTTTCTACAGTCTTAATCCAACCTTTAGCTGAGATGTCACTACGTATTAAGCTTTGAGATGGACAATTTTAAGTGCTTATTGTTGGATTTGGTGCTTGCAAACCTGAAGGATTGAAAAGAAACTGAGGAATAAACTGAGGCTCAAAGCAGTTAAATGTCTGCCTCAAACCCACACAGTTAATAGGTGGTAGACCTGGGAATCGAACTTAGACCAATACTGACAGCAAACCTACAGATCTCACATTACAGTCAAACAAGCACACAGATACTTGTGATGTACAACACATATTCTATGGCAATATGCTCTGACCTAAAAACAAACAACCAAACCTGACTCCGAGGTTACATCAGTCTCTACCAAGCTGAGAGGTTCAAGGTGCTATCTCAACTGTCAATGCCCTACACATATTCTGCTCCAAGATTAGACTCAGCTGTACTAACCAGAGACCCACAGGCAACATGACACGCTGGGAGAGGTTTGTTATGTCCTTTGAAATTCTGAGTATTCTGAATACTCTCTTCTGCTTTTCCTGTTGTCTCCTACTTGGCCCACTTCACTCACCTATTTACCTAGTTGCTATAGATGCCGGAGAGTGTAACGGTGGCAGACAATATGGAGATACTGAACAGGCGAAGAAGAGCGACAGATAGGTGTTTAGAAAAAGGATATGTAGGGGGCTGGAGAGATGGCTCAGTGGTTAAGAACACTGACTGTTCTTGCAGAAGACCCGGGTTCGAATCCCAGCACCCACATGGCGGCTAATAACTGTCCGTAACTCCAGTTCCAAGGGATATGACTGCCTCTTCTGTCCTCTGCGGTGATTGCATGACACGGGTGCACTGACCTACACGCAGGCAAAACATGTATACACATAAAATAAAAATAAAAAATATTAAAAAAAGAAACAAAAGAGCCAGCTTCTGAGAAGACAGATGTGTATGAATGCTGAAGATGTGAACTGAGGTGACGGTGACTGAGAGGAGGGAACAACCTGACATGCCTGAGGAAGGCAGACTTGTGTAACTTAATGAGTAGTTAGCAGTGACGGGTTGAGCGTGAGAAGGGATGACAGCATGACTGGTGTAGACACCCAGGTAACTTGCTGCTTATGAAGAAATAAAATACATGTAACAGGTTTGATGAAATAAAATCACTGCAGATGGGCTCTGCCAAATTCAGGGGGTCCACAGCATCTGCTGATTGAGGCATTCAGGAGATGGAAGTGTGGACAGAAGGTTAGAAGGTTTAAGCTGAAGTAGCTAGTATATCATGCAGTTAGCTGCAAAGAGTCAGAAATAAAGTTGCCCCGCAAAAACGGAAGGGCGAGTTAAGGTAAAATACCGGTAGAAGCCAGGAGCTAAGGGGCAGGGACAGGGAGAGGAATCAGAGGAGGTGGCATCACCACAGCAGGAAGTCAGAGAGAGACAGGGAAGAAAGAGCCAACTCATTGATGTCCCACGATGCACCCCAGTCTGTCTCCTCTGATCATAGAGATCACACAGAATGCTGACAATGTCGGCTCTACCACAGTCTTTCATTCTTTTCTCTGTTTGATTTGTTTATTTCATGTGTGTGTGAGGAGGCGGGGTATGTGTGAGGCGATCAAAAGGACGACTTGTGGGAGTCAGTTCTCTTCTTCCATCATGTGGTTTCTGGGGATTGAACTCAAGTTATAGGTTTGGCAGCAAGTGCTTTTACCCACTGAGCCATCTTCCTGTCCCTCCCTGTCCTAGTTTGTTTCTCCATTGCTGTGACAAAATACTCTGACCACTACCAACTTGGGGAGGAATGGGTTTATTCAGCTTACATCTCCCAGGTCACAGTTCATCAGGGAGCCCAAGGCAGGAACTCAAGGCAGGAACCTGGA